CCAAATGTATACATAAACACAGGATAAGTAAGTCCTACCTCACATCAGCAGGTAAAGAAAACATTTTTTGTAGAGCTGTCATATGATCCAGCACCCCCAATCCTGGGCGTATACCCAGACAAAACTATAATTTGAAAAGACACATGCACCTTATGTTCCTAGCAGCACTATTCACAACAGTCAAGACATGGAAACAATGTCGACAGATGAATGGATAAAGAAGATGTGGCACATATACATGCTATGGAATATTAGCCATAAAAAGAATGAAATAATGCCATTTGCAGCCACATAGATGGACCTCAGTTCAGTTCAGTTCAGTCACTCAGTTGTGTCCGACTCTTTGCGACCCCATGAATTGCAGCACGCCAGGCCTCCCTGTCCATCACCAACTCCCGGAGTTTACTCAAACCCATATCCATCGAGTCGGTGATGTCATCCAGCCATCTCATTCTCTGTCGTCCCCTTCTCCTCCTGCCCCCAATCCCTCCCAGCATCAGGATCTTTTCCAATGACTCAACTCTTCGCATCAGGTGGCCAAAGTATTGGAGTTTTAGCTTCAGCATCAGTCCTTCCAACGAACACCCAGGACTGATCTCCTTTAGGATGGACTGGCTGGATCTCCTTGCAGTCCAAGGGGCTCTCAAGAGTCTTCTCCAAAAGCATCAATTCTTTTTCACTCAGCTTTCTTTACAGTCCAACTCTCACATCCATACATGACCACTGGAAAAACCATAGCCTTGACTAGACAGACCTTTGTTGGCAAAGTAATGTCTCTGCTTTTTAATATGCGGTCTAGGTTGGTCATAAGTGTTCTTGCCCTGCCCCCCAAAAAGGGGCTCAAAGAAATAGATGGACCTAGATATTATCATATTAAATGAAGGCAGAAAGAGAAAGACAAATACCATATAATATCACTTATATGTGAAATCTACAATATGATACAAATGAACTTATTTACAAAACAGAAACAGACTCACAGGTTAGAGAACAAACTTATGTTACTCGGTGGAAGGATGGGAGGAAGGGATAGTTCAGGAGTTTGGAATGGACATGTACACACTGCTTTATTTAAAATGAATAATGTAATGCTTACAAGTATATAAGAGAAAGAAAATTGGGTCAAAAAAGGGGTGATGACACCAATTGGCAATTCACACAAAGTGCTGGGTGGAGTGGGGAGAGAGAGAGAAAAAAACAAATGGCCAAGAAAAACAGATGAAAAAATTTACTCTCAATAGTAATTGAAGAAATACAAATTAAAATAGTGACATGACACTGAACTTAGTATACTGTTAACAAAAGTCACAACAATGCTATTCTTAGAGAGCCTGTGGGAGGCTGGGTTCTCATATCCTGCTGATGCTAACATAAATTGATAAAACCTTTTTGGAGAGCAAGTCAGCTGGATATGTCAAAAAGTAAAAACACGTTCTTACCCCTTTGATTAGGAATTCCCATGTGTCAGAATTTATCCTGAGAACATTTTCATGGATGAGCACAAAGGCTTAGTGTAGAAGAGATGCATGTCACCATTCTTTCTAATGAGGACAAATTGGAAATGGAAGGGTCAACAATACAGAACTGCTTTGAAAAAGTCCAGGCCTGATATGAGTGTGTGAGAGCAACTCAGATTGGTCAGCACCTCTCATGCACATTTGATGACTGTTTTAGATTCCACCCACACAAGGAAATACTCTGTACCACTGAAATAATGTGGAAGAACATTCATCATATAGAAAAACTGTATACAATTGCATCTATGGGAAGATTCCATTTTAAATGAAATATATAGGTAAATAGAGACAGGAAACAACTTAGGATACAGGTCAAAATGCCAGAAATGATATCTCTGGCTAGTAAAATTAGATACAGTTTTTTGCCTATTCTTATTATATTTTCTGGGCTCTTCCCTGGTGGCCGAGACAGGAAAGAATCTGCCTGCAATGCCAGAGACCTAGGTTTGATCCCTGGATTGTGAAGATGCCTTGGAGAAGGGAATGGCTACCCACTCCAGTATTCTTGCCTGGAGAATTCCATGGACAGATGAGCCTGGCAGGCTACAGTCCGTGGGGTTGCAAAGAGTCAGACACAACTGAGAGACTAAACACTGTATACACTGCATTTTCTAATAACTGTGCAAGATTCTACATAGAATTTCTTTAGTAGAAGTTCATGGATTTTGTAAAGTAATGACCAGCCCTGGTGGAGGCTACTCCTGGGTCAAGGATGGCCACACCTGGAGAGTGTCCATGGCTAGGGTCAGGGTACAGCAGGTGAGGTAAGGGGTTCCAGCCTTTCGGAGAACAAGATATGTGCGTGTCAGGAGATTAATATATGAATATGTATAGGAAAAAAACCTCAAGTGATGGGATTATGATGGTTCTTTCCTTTTTTAAAAAAAATCTATTTATTTATTTTTGACTGTGCTGGGTCTTAGTCACAGCTCATGGGATCTTCATTGCATCTACTTATATCTCTAGTAGTGCCATGAGCTCCAGGCATGTGGGCTTAGCTGCCCTGAGGCATGTAGAATCTTAGTTACCTAATAAGGGATCGAACCCACGTCTCCAACACTGGAAGGCAGATTCTTAACCACCAAGGAAGTCCTTGGTTGCTACTTTCTTTTCTACATTCTTTTCTGTCGTTCAAATAAAATGAAATTTTGTGTTGCTTATAATTGACAGGGAGGGGATGAACACAGTATGACTGCTAAATATTATAAAAGCCTGCCTGGGCTATAAACCCCATCAGGGCCTGGTCCTGCCAACCCCTGTATCCCACCCCCTCTCCCTCCTTAGGTTGATGTGTACCAGTGCCTGGGCTCTTGTTGCTTCCTCCTTCCCACCTCTGCTTTCCTAGTTTCCTCTGCCAGGAGAGAAACTTATATTTTTTATATAAAATACAGGTTTTTTATATTTTATATTTACATTTTTATATAAAATATCTCTTGGATATTGCAATAGGAAAAAATTATCAGATAACTTGGAAAAAGATTTCTTAAATAAAAAGCATCAGACGGGGGCGGGATAAATTGTAAACATTGTAAATCAACTATGCTCCAATAAAATTTTAAAAGAAAGAAAATTTAAAAAGCATCAGTTACAAAAGAAAGCAGTGATCTATTTTATTATGTTAAGAACATTAATTCATCAAGAGATACCTTTAAGAAAGTGAAGAGGACAGCAAACAAATAATTAGAATTGAGAATATATTAAGGACCCTTCTAATAAGAAAAGCACCAGCAATTATAGAATGATGGGCAGAAAACATGCACAGATACTTTTCAGAAGAAAGGAGATATATTTGACCAATCATATCCAAAGAGATGCCCACCATCAAAGGTAAAAATGCAAATCAGAACCGCAAGGAGGTACTATTTCACACACAATCTATTGGCAAAAATGAAAAAGCCTGACAACACCTAGCACTGGACCTCCACTTCTCATACACACAGGCCAGGGAGGTTTAAGTTGGTGCATCCATTTTGGGAAAAGTTTGGCTTTGTACTCTGAAATCGAGCACATGGATGCTATCCAACTCAACAATTCCACTCTTGAGGTGTGCGCCCAAAAGAAATGCTTGCACCTGTATAAGACCAGGTACAACACAGTTCATCACAGTACTGTTTACAGTATCAAGAGTCTTTGACCAACTCAAATGACTGGTAATGAGAGGGTGGCTGGATAAACTATGGGATGCTCATATAATAAAATGTTATAGAGGAGCCAAAACAAATGAAAGACAGCAACATGAGACAATAAGTGCATCTTAACAGCTTAGTTCCTAAAAATTACATATAGCATGATGTCTTTTCTATAAAATTAGGAACATATATACACATAAATAGACATACACTTTTCTGAATACATTTAACATATATATAAAACAGTGAGACTAGATAAAAAAGAAGGGCATACTGAACACAGACATCAGGATGAGGGTCCACTTTGGCTTAGGAGAAGCAGGTAAATAGAGTAGGGGTAGATCTACATGGTTAGATGCAGATTATAATCTTATTGTCAAGGTTCTAGCATTTTATGTTAAAAAAAAAATTTTGTTTTTAAAAACCTTGCTCTCCCACTGCAGGAGGCACAGGTTCGATCCCCGGTTGGGGAACTAAAATCCCACATGCCACATGGTGTGGCCAAAAAAATCAAATCAAATCAAATGATGGAGCATTTATGAAAAAAAGTAATTAAAGCAGGTCATGCATGGATCAATGGTGATGTGTTTCATGAACCAAGGATTATTAATAGATTATGCACTTCTGTGTATCAGGCATCCAATAAGAAAGAAAAACCTATGTTAAATGAAAGTTAGAACATGATAAAGGAAACACAATTATTAACTAGAGGAAACAGGGAGCTGGAGTCTGGACAACAGATTGAAGATCAGTCTGAAGGCATACATCCAAGGTTTGAAGCACCTACTACAAACTGTATGCAAAGGTATCATCTAAAACTGCTCTAAGAAGCTAAACAGACCTACCTGGGGCTTGTCTTTGTTTTTATAAAAGTTCTCTTCCATTTCAAAAGCACCCTCTGATACCACTCAGTGAAACCAGGGAATAGCCCGAAGACTCTCAGCCGCTGGACATTGGTTCCTTGGCTTTTTTCAAGACAGCTAAGCTCTCATGTCAGCTGGAAAGACTCGTCTCATGCTATCTTATTCCTACAAGGCATTAAATGTGAAATAAGGCCTTGCTGGGCAGTTTGCCACAAAGTCTACTTTTACAGCCTCGGTAACCTATGCTCATGGCATCTCAGAACTCTGTAATGCATATCACAGTGCTTGGAAGGTTTGGTCATTTCCAGGCAATGAGTATGTGTGTGTATATGTATGTGTGTGTTTAATCTAAGTAATACTTTACTGTCATTCCATTATTACAAATAGAAAAGCTGGCTCTGCTTTTAAGGTTCTTTTAAGATCTGGAAAAAAAAAAACCCTCAAAAATCCAGCAACCTGTAACTCCAGCTTCTGGGCCATATTCTACTTACTGTCTGGCATGTAGTAGGTGCTTCCTGAGTGTTTTGTTGAGTTCAGTGGCACTGTTTTCCAAATGATGCTGTTGAAGACCCTGGATTTCAAGAGTAAACACTTGTTCAGTGAGTCATCCTTTCTACCGATCCTGTTTATACAGACACACCTTGTTCTACTGTGCTTCACAGATACTGCAATTTTTTTTTACATATTGAAAGTCTGTGGCAATCACGTCTGTTGGCATTTTTCCAACAGCATTTGCTCACTTCATGCCTCGGTGTCACATTTTGGTAATTGTGGCAATATTTCTAGATCTTTCATTATAATATTTGTTATGGTGATCGGTGACCCATGATGTTTGATGTTCCTGCCATGACTTATAGAAGGCTCAGGTGATGGGGAGCATATTTCAGCAATAAAGTATTCTTTAATTAAAGTACATATATAATTTTTTAGACATTATGCTATTGCACACTTAACAGACCACAGCACAGTATAAACATAACCTTTATATGCACTAGGAAACCCCCAATTGCATGTGACTTGCTTTATTACGATACTTGCTTTCTTGAGGTGATCTGGAACCAAACCTATGGCATTTTGAAGGCATGTCTATATAGCAAGAAACAATCTAAAAAGGATGAATATATTTATGGGGGAGATATGTCAGAAGAATGAAGTTTGGGACTGTCTTTGGATGTTAAGGACACACTGCTGTTGTATGTGAGATCAGCCACTTCAACAAGGACACACCTTCAGAGCATATTCGGAATCCAGGGAGTCAGAAAATAGCGTGCACACACACACACATTTAGTGACAGAGATGATGAGATTAAGACAAAGCTCTCCTACATTAATGACCCTCTTGTACAGATGACAGTCAAATTTTCCAACTCATTTTGTCTTGTCCGTCGAATCTGGTCACCAAAAGACAGCGGCAGACAGACGGAACAATGAAAGAAATAATTAAAACCTTACCCAAAAGGTTATCAGCCAGAAGCAGGAATTATCGAGAGAATCTCTCTAGGAGGAGGATGGAAAAGTCACTTTTCCTGTCCACCACGGGCGTGTTATCTGAAAGGAGAAAAATATCACATACTTTTCAGAAGAAGCTCCTGGGCCAGCCCACGCAGAAGCTCATATTCATATTTTCCCAATTGAGGTCGATCCCATCTAAAAACATCTGGACCGCCCCTCCCTTCACTGTGGCTCTTTCTTGATCAGCCCCACCTGCCAGGCCATTTGGTTCTTTTTTGCCATCTAAGCACACATGTGTTTGTTTTCCCCTAGATTAACTTGCTTATGGGGGTCCAAGTGTTAAGTCATTTCACGTGTGCGGCTCCGCCCCTCATTGTAGCACAACTGGGTGCAGTTATGCCGTAAGCTTGATCTGACTTGTATTTGCTGAAATGGAAAGGCACCCGGGGCATAAACAGATGTCTCCAGTCTCAAGGCTGCTAGGGAGCGGGTGGAGGCAGGTACTGGGAAGGTCCTTTTTGTCTTTGCTCCCCAGCATCTACCCCCGCCCCCCAAATTCGTTGCCGGTCTGTGCTTTACCTATCCCTGCAGTCATGTGTCAGTTAAAAAGGAAAGAAAAGAAAAGAAAAGAAACAAGCTCACCTACCAAATACACTCTAGGAGCGTGGGATCAGCACACCAGTGTTGGGTGTGTACACTTCATCTGTGTTTGCACCCAAATACAAAGCAACAGGGACTTCCCTGGCGGCTCAGATGGCAAAGAATCTGTCTGCAGTGCTGGAGACCTGGGTTTGATCCCTGGGTCGGAAGACCCCCAGGAGAACGGAATGGCAACCCACTCTAGTACTCTTGCCTGGAGATTTTCCATGGACAGAGGAGCCTGGTGGGCTACAGTCCACGGAGTCACAAAGAGTCAGGACAGGACTGAGCGACTAACACTTTCACTTTTCACAAAGCCACAGATGGGTATGGATGAGACAGTGAGGGCTGATACCAAGAGCTTCAGGATAAATCACCATAAAAATGGGTTGGCCAGGTTTTTCTTTTTTTCAATTCCACCAAACTGTTAATTGTGTTTATTTCTTAAAAGATATTTCTGGTATAATTTACATACAATCAACAGCACATACTTAAACTGTATTTCCTGAATGATAACTGGCAACGTGTATGTCGTGACATCATCACTGCAAGAGTTTGGACATTTCCATCAACTCCAAATGAGTTTCCCTGTGTGTATGGCCAGTTTTTCAGTTTGGAAGTCTTTTTGGTTTTGAGGGAATTGGAGCTCACCTAGGAGTCCAGGGCTTACCATGGGGTCACTGATAATGTTGAATAAATCAACAGCAACCTCACCCCCTTCCCGACACCCCTACCCCCCCTCCCGCCTCCGCCCCAAATCCACTGCTTCCGCAGGAAAAACAATCCCTCTGACCAACAAAAGACTTGGGACTTCCAGGCATGACTCACCCTCAGTCCTGGGGCGCATACTCGGTTTCTGATAAGAGGCAGTCAATCTGTCCTCCGTTTGTTTATAATGAGTCATGCTGGAAATCAGGCAGCTCCTTTTTTTTTTTTTTTTTCCTCTCCCATGTCAGGGTTGGGCAAGAATTAGAGGCAGATACACCACCATTCAAGTGCAGTCATCCTTCAAGTGTCCGGTGACTCAATGGGGCCCCCTACTGGTGGAGACAGGGAGGGCCACGTCGTGGAGCGGAGGTCTGCCTTTCTCCTCACACTTCAAGGCCAGACTGCAGATTGATAAGAGAACTGGGAAAACAAAACTGAGTTTTCTGTGCATCCTGCCCACTACCCCCAACTATTAGTGGCAGAGTGCAGCGTGAGTCACAACTTGCAGCCGGTGTATACACTGGAGCGATTAGCCACATAATTGCTTCAGTGATGAACCTTCCCCCAGCTGCAACCCGCCTTCCCCTCGGAGAACTCTGCCAACAGTTTCAGTGGCAGGAATACTGAGGGCCGAGATTTACAAAGCGCGAGTTGTGATTCTTTTAGCTAGTGCCCTCTTGGCCCCGATTTAAAATTCCTGCACACGAGTCTGAGGGGAGCAGGGGAGGGTTTTCAACTAGAATTGGTGTCATGATCAAGCCAACGTAAAATAGATTGATCTGCTGTTTCAAGGTATTGAGGCAAAGCGCTCTGTTTGGAGAACAAATCACCATAGCAACTCAGCCGCCCCAGTTACAGTAGGCGCGCAGGACGACCAAAATAAAAATCCTTACCAAGTCTCAGGATTGGCTCCTGAGAGCTGCTCAACAGACTTTCAGTTTCCAGACAGCATGAGCCAGCATATATTTTGATTTCCTAAATTGCTGAAAGGGATGCTTTAAATAATAATAGAACTATCCAGCCAGGTTACAAACAGAGGAGTTCTGGGCTGTCCCCCCTTTCAGCTTAAAACACAAGCAGACATCAGTGCCAAGCAACAGCATTTGTCGTTGAAACAGACTTTGGAAAAGGGCTCATTGTTACTTATTGTGGCTTGCCACATGGGGGTACATGGTACTCTAAATGCTGATTTTTAAGAAGAGCCAAATCGGTATGAAAACAGGTTTTCTGTAGGTGTGAAAGGAAGAAAAGCAAAACCACTCTTTCTTTCCTCCACCCCCAGGATCCCAAGCACTGGGCTTGGATTCCATTAATTATCTGCCCTCTCTCCAGCATCTGCCTTCTCTCACTTGGCTCTGCTCCTTCTGATCACCAACAGACAAAATCGCCTTGGCCATGGGACTTGCCCATTCTTCTCTTCATCCTCATTGTCCAGGGCTTCCTTTGACCTCTCAGTCTGGTGTGTGTCCAGACCTCCCTGCAATCACCATCCGGGATGCCCAGTGTTGTCTGCCTGCTGCAAACCCAGGCAATGACCATTCCTTCTGCCCCACTCCTAATCCTGTGGGTCATCCTCTTGAAATTCTCTCCTGCTTTTGATTCTGGTTGCTGCATGATTCAGAATTTTCTTTTTATAGTCAGTCTCCTCTATTGTCTCACCTCCTAAATTTAGGAACTTTTAAAGTCCTATCTGTTTCATACTTGCTTTAACCATTTATCTGATGTCTTCAATTCACACTTCTAAGCAGATATCTACTACATTTTTAGCTGAGACTGTTTGCCTATAGGTTATTTCAAAACCGACCCTATCAAAATTGAATTTAATCTTCCCAACACCACTGGATCCTTCTCTAGGCTCTGTTAACAGTGTCATCATTTCCTAAGGCTTAAAGGTGAGGTGTTATTTAGACTCTTCCTAGGTAGATATTTTCTTTGCCACATTCCATTGACTGTCCATTGATGCTTCTTCCATTTGTGTCCTTCTTTCCATTTCCGAAGCTATTGTCTGAGTTCTGGTCATCATCACCAGAACTGTTGCTGAAATTGCTACAACTTCTGAAATGGTGATTTTACATCCAGCCTTTCTTCAAGACAGCAAATTATGGTAGAAAGAAAGTAGGTTTTGGAGTTGGACTCCCATCTCTGCCATTTACTGTCATTGTGACTTTACTTTCATAATCCCTGAGTCTTAGTCTCTTTACCTGTAAAACAGGTATAAATCTGTACTTTGAGGTATAAGGACTTAATGGAGGTAACATATGTGAAGGACAGAGAAGCCTGGTGTGCTGCAGCCGATGGCGTCACAAAGAGTCAGACACGACTCACGACTCACGACTGAACAACATATGTAAAACGTCTGGCGCACTTGAAACCCTCAGTTGATGCTAGTTCCTTTCCATTTCAAACTTACTACCAGACCGAAGCCTTAAAACAGACTTCCTAGTCACGTCCTTCTTACTCAAGCATACGTTTTTCTACCAAAATAAGGACAAACTCCTTGAGCCTCGCACTTGAGAGACTTGCCTAATGTGGCCCCCGTGTCTTGCTCCAACTCTGCTGTTCATGACTCTTTCTTTAAACACCATCTGCTCCTTTGCTGGTGCTCTGGACTTGGACTTGAGTGCATTGTCTGCGTCTCTGTCTGATGTAATTCTAGCTGTTCTTTAAGACTCATCTCAAATTCTATCTTCTCTCTCAGGCCATCCCTGCTCCCTACCATCGGATATGACATCTTTCTCTGGCCCCTGGAACACTTATCCCTCTCTGGTGGCATTTTTATTATTCTACTTGGCTCATGTTCTTTGTTCGAACTCTCTACTGCACGACTGAAATGTCCTTGATGGCACAGACTGTTACTGCACGGAGCCCAGAGAGAGTCCTGTGCCTTATGCAATAAACGCCTTATGCCAAAAACAAACCTGCCTGGTCATGCTTCCCTTTGTCTACTGAGCTTTCTTCTTCCTGAAGTTTTTGTTGGGTGTCACCCTTCCCAGAAACAAAGTTGCACAGGGAAGCAAATCTCTCTCAGTGAAAGGCATTCTCTGGGACACCAAAGTTTTGGAGCTCATCGTTACGGGAAAAGTGTCCCTGAATATCCTCTCAAATAATCCATGTCACTGTTTCATCAGACCCAGTTTATTTACTGTTTTCATAAATCCCAGGGAATTCCCTTGTTTGAAAGCAAAACTTGGTTTTGCTTACTGGTCTCTCAGGCCCTCAGGGAGCACTGTTCTTTCAATGTACAAAAAACTTCATGCAAATGGATCCTTGGGAATGTCTGAAATTCCTTTTTTCATCACGAATTAATCAGCCTTTTTAAGACTGATAATACAACACAGGAAAGGAACTCAGATTAAAGATTCAGTTGAGCATTTGTAAACAATGAAAAACAGAGGTCCACTGAGCGAGTATCTTCAAATGTGTCTGTGGTTCTTAAATATTTAATCAATTTATAGTTTTTAATATTAATGGCCTAATTCCAAAGTACAGTTCTTAAATATGTGTACATATATTATGTATGTGTGTGCACGTGTTCGTGCTGTCGATTCCGTTGTGTCTCTTTGTAATCCCACGGACCTCAGGCCGTCAGGCTCCTCTGTCCATGGGATTTCTCAGGCAAGAATATTAGAGTGGGTTGCCATATCCTCCTCCAGGGGATCTTCCCCACCCAGAGACAGAACCTGCATCTCCAGTATTGAATGTGGATTCTTTAATACTGAGCCACCTGGGAAGCCATATTGTGTGTGTGTGTGTGTGTGTGTGTGTGTATACACATATATCTTTTTTCCTCATTCATGAATCAGTCTCTTTAACACTGATGATACAACACAGAAAAGGAACTCAGATTAAAGATTGAGTTGAGCTTTCATAAAATAAGAAACAGAGGTCCACTAGAAGGTTTAATTTATACTTTCTAGTTTACAAAGTTTCATTTTAGGATGAATGAGGCTGGAAATATGGTTTCATCATTATATGGGAGCTCCTGTTGGT